GGAAAATAAATACATTTACTATGAGTATAAAATAGTAAAGTAAGGTTACTACAGTCAAAAGTCGTTAATTCGGACGCCCATAATCCGGAATGATCTATAATCCGGACCTCAAAGCTACAAACTTTCTGCGCATGCGTCGCTTTGACGCATGCGCGTAAGATCTTTACCGCGGCGAATTTGCGTGTGCGCAAAATACGTTTACGAAAGCGCGTTTAATGTATAACGGACGGAATAAGCTAAGCTAAAATTATCTAATTATCTATTTCAGTTAATGTTGCAGATTGCGTTGTTCCTTAATCTTCGAATTGGATCCGAATTATTATTTTTTTGCAGACTGTTAGAGCAATTTTATAAAAGTAAGCTTGAACTTTCGATTATGTCAAATAGAATTTCCGATATATATTTACTAATATGTAAAGGATATACAAAGCGAAAGTATCTTTCGGAGTCCATTAAACAAAAAGTGGAATTGCTGCAAAAAATGGATAAAGCCATATCCTTTGTTTATCTTAAATTTAACGTTTGTTTATCTAAACTTTGTTTATCTTTAACGCCGCGCGGCGTGCAATGAATTGGAAGTTGATCCGTCAGCAAGATCCTTATCTTAAGGGCAGATGTTTTTATTTTATTTGGCTTATAATTGCTTACTAAATGTAGTATTTCATCTCGATGTACTCCGTCTTTGATATGATTTAAATCAAATTCCTCGTCATTATCATTCGCTTCCGATAGCGAAGAAAGTGACAGAGGTTATTGAAAACGGAAAAATTTCGATTGACAAATTAGTCGGTATTCTCGACACACAATTAGCAATTATACGACTTGAACAGCGGAACTTTTGTAACTGAACAAGAAATTATGTCTGTTTATAGAATTAAAGAGAATGTATTATCACATAAAAAACGAAGCAACTTAAACAACTTACATTGAAAGAAATGTTTAATAAAGTAAACAAATAAATATTAAGCTTTTTTTTTTTGTAAATTTTGATACCCTTTAGATCATAATTGTTCTTTATTTCGTAAATTACGGTTTCATATTTTTCATTTTATAATTTCTGCATGCCATTTCACCAGATTTAAACTGATGATCTATAATCCGGAAAAATCGATAATCCGGAATCGCCGAAGTCCCGACGAGTCCGGATTAACGACTTTTGACTGTATTACTTTCATATAGCAAAGAGAATAAAAACACCGCTATAAAAACATTGTGCCAACGTTTAATTAGATTAAAATATTATTGAAATTGAATATCGAATTAAAAACCATCAAACCAACATTTAAAAGAATTAGAATATTATTAAATTCAAATACTTTAAAATACGTTATATAGAATATAATTAACATTAAAACATATGGACAATAATTATCTCAGCAATTTTTGAAAATAGTGTATTAATTTTTTCAACAAAAAATTGAAGTATACAATTATAAAATAAAGGAAAAATATGTACTTACATTTTTTTAGTCATTTAACCTATTGCGTATTGATAAGTACTACAAAAAAAATCAGAATCATAATTTAAATAACATCTTTGAAAGACATCTTTCAAGGAATTCGAAGATATGAATTAAATTTTAAAACGGCGCGGAAATGCACAAATTTTCAGTAACCAATCAGGGAGCTGATTATAGCTCGTTAATGCACAAATATTCTATAACCAATCAGAGAGCTTATTACATCACGCCTAGAATTGAAATTATTTAAAAATTCATACATAATAAAATCATTTTTTTTTAAATGCAAAATTAAATTGTATTTTAATATTTAACAGCCATAAATAATGTTTAAAACATTAGATTAAATTTATACATATAAAAACCAATTACTTTTAAAGAAAGGTGACGTCATTGGTTACATCATTCACAATATAAAATTTCATAAAATATGATAAACAATAAAATTTTTATTTCAAATAAAAATGCAAAATTAAATTGTTTTTAATATTTAGAAGCCATAAATAATATTTAAACCACGGAATTTATGCACAATAAAACACATTATTTTTTAAATAAAATGACAACAAAGTATCGGTTACCATAAATAACTTATCCATCAATGGGTTTACCATAAGTTGTATTACTCGCCAAAAGAAAAATCGCCAACAAATCACCAAAATCCGTGCAACCGTCTACCAAAGTAGCTCCAAAAAAACATCCCAGAATTGCACAAAAATGGCATTGCGCACACTCTTGACTTTATCCATGTACACTGCTAAAGTCCTAGCTAGTAACCTTTTTTTAACAAAATGTCGCCAAACTACCTGTTACCATATTCCAAAGATTAGCCAATATATTTTTATTAACATTTCCTCAAAAGACAGGTTTATCTTGTGAGCAGATAAAGATGTGGAAGCACTTCCGCAAAGGATCCGTTAAATGTAAACATTGCCAAAAATGTCAATAAAAGTTCTAAGCTGGTAACTTGCGAATTGGTTTGTCAGAGGTAACAACCTGGTTCTACAAGCGCTACAAGAATATTTTTCATCTGTTTGGGGCTTCGTTTTGCCGCTGGCTAGCGGTGCGTCACTACTGGATGAGGTAGTGAAAATCGGCTGGGGTGAAGATAATTTATAATACGGCTGTTTGGTATGGCTGTGTTCTTACGTAATTTTTAAAAGACATTAAACAAGCAGAACGCCGCAATAATATATGTTTTAAACAATAAAGTTTTTATTTTTATTACTGTTATTTTTACCTAAAATAATAAGAACTAAATCAGTTTTCGTGCTTAAAAATTTGATATAATTTTAATGGATTTTAACAATTACTTTTCAAAGGATGCTAGGTGTTTATATACAATAGATGAATAGAATGAAATAAAAATTACTATTGGTTCTCTGAAATAACAAAATACTTTTAGGCTTTTACGCTAGGTGTTTATATACAATAGATGATTAGAATGAAATAAAAATTATTATTGGTTCTCTGAGATGACAAAATACTTTTATGTATTCCCAGATTATCAAGTTAGTTAAACCACTGCTTTGAGTAATTAATCAAAGTTTGAATGAAATCTTGAAATAACAAGATACATAATGTTTCTTCTAGTTTTATTTACAATGCTACTTTAAAGGATTTGAATATTATTGAAGATTCTTGGCATTGTGAAATTTATTATGAAAAAGGCAGTTGTTTCAAAATAAAATATTTTAAGCTATCAGCAAGTAAATTCAAAAAACAACTTTGAAAAATTGCTTGTGAAAAATGAATGGGCTGATCTTTACAATATGGTAACTGAGAGTTTGGCGACATTTTGGAGGCGATAAAGGTTACTACCTGGGACTTTGGTAATAATGTGAGCAGTACTCAGTTCCGATTACGCATTATTTTGTGTGAGGGAAATGAGAGATCATGGGATATGTCATGTGATATTAATGGACGAATTACGGTTCTTTAATCAGAAAAGGGGGGAAATCGGGAAAAAAAATCTGGAAATTTTGTATTTGCCTTTATTCTGTGTTGTGTGAAACAGTGTTCGTTTAATTTTTGGATCTATGGCCCTAACTAAAGTGAATTCGAAATGGGTATTTAGTGGGATTGAAAGGGGTAATAAGTGTTTCTTAAGGTTGTGCGAGATAGAAGTAAAGATGTTTTATTAAGTTATTTATTTTACTTGGTACCTTGGTGTGAACTATAAGTATGATTTTAAAGATCCTGAAATAGAAATAAGAAAAGTTTATCAGACACGTAATCAAGATTCTGAAGAAAAATAGTTAGTATTTTTTAATTATTTGAGGATATTATTTTTATGCATGTTTTAAATGTAAGTGGAAGGAAGTAATTTGCGTAAACGTTGCATGGAAATAATTTAAATATTTGACACTAAGTATTTGTAACCATTTGTAATGAAAGTTAAAGGTATGAATTAGTTAGTGACGTTTGTAATATATAGATAATGTAGAGGTAAAAGTTTTTGGATATTTTATTTATTTTATACGGGGAAATGTTCATATTTGGAAAGGGTATGTACTTTTTCACGATCAGGTAATTTCACATATGTTCTTTTTACCGGGTTTAAAGATTCAGAAAATTGTTATGCATTTTCGTGAAATTTTTCTAATTTATGAGAAAAAAGCAATGTACATGGATATAGTGAAGAGTATGCGCAATGCCATTTTTGTGCAATTCTGGGATGTTTTTTTAAGTAAAAAATAAGTCGACGTGTACATGGTTTTAGTGATATTTTAATTAATGATAGTTTTTTGGTGAATTTTAATTTTGTAGGAATTGGTATACGTTTAAGTTGAAGTAACGTGCATGGAAATAATTTAAAGATTTGACACTAAGTATTTGTAATGCTTGCGGTATGAATTCGTTGGTGAGTGTATATATAAATAGACGATTAGAGGTAAAAGTTTTGGATATTTTATTTATTTTATATGTGGAAATGTTCATATTGGAAAGGGTATAAACTTTTTCGCGATCAGGTAATTTCATATATGTTCTTTTTACTGTGTTTAAAGATTCAGAAAATTGTCATGTATTTTCGTGAAATTTTCTAATTTATGAGTGTACATGGATATAGTGAAGAGTGTGCGCAATGCCATTTTGTGTAATTCTGGGATGTTTTTTAAGTAAAAATAAGTCGGCGTGTACGTGGTTTATGGTGTATGTGTTATTTTGAAGAACGCGTAAGGAGTTGGTATTGTGCACTTTTTCCCAATTTTGCAGTGAATATTTGTCATGATTAAGCAGTTTTTAGATAAAATTTTCTAGCATAAGTGTAATTCGGCTAGTAGATTGTTGGAAGAAGTGTTCAGTAGATAAAAAGAAAAGAAACATGTCTTTACTTCGTGAAGACAAAATGGCGGCGGAAAGAAAAAATACGAGGGTTGCTATAGGAGAGTTGGTCGGCATATTTTCGCCAAAAAAACGCCAAGTTACCATAATGTAAAGATCAACCAATGAATGTTTTAAAGGTATTATTTAGTAATGAATCCATTAATTAATTAACTAATTATTAAACATAATTTTGAGAATATCAACAAGCAAAGCACTTAATGAAAAAGACACTTTTTACTAAAAATATTAGTATTCTGTATGAATGACAGAGAATATATGTAATAAATACCATGGCCAAATACCTATATAAAGAAAAAGAAACAAAAGAAAGTATTCTGTACCTCAACACTTGAAAAGTAATCCTGCTATGCAACACATAGTTAATTTCTGATTACATGATATTGCAAGCATTTTCTTCAGATTTTTCTTATAACTGGTTAAGACCATTGAATACTGGTAGTTTGATCTAGTTTCATATCATGGTTAAAGGGCTGGCTGCATGGTTGATTTTTCTCGTTTTCCTCATATGTAATCCAAATACAAGCCAGTTGCCCTTAGAAAGTTGTTCAAAAAGGCATTCTTCTTCAGGTCGAATGCCAGTATTCTTTGCCATATTCGAATAACCTAAACTTTCTTTCAAATTCTACATTGACATGACGTATCTGTTGTAAGCAATACAATGATCATTCTGCCTTTATCCGTGTGGCAGGAGTATATTTAAAACATATCAGAATCACGGGATTCATAACAAAATCAACCATATTTTATTCTTGAAAACTATAAATTTTCCCAATTTTGGACGAAAAGCTAGAACCTGTTCGAGGACAATGCTCCTTTCCGCAGTATATTCCTAAGAAACCTGCAAGATATGGTATAAAGATATTTACTGTGGTTGATTTTAGAACCTTCTATACTTTTAAGATGGAAATTTACTCAGGTCAGATGCCAGATGGGCCATACAAGAAAGTCAACAGTTCTTGTGAACAGCAAAGTGCATCCTAGCTCTATTATACAATTCTGGAAGAAACATTACCACAGACAATTAGTACACCAATTTATAAATTGGCCAATTTCTTACAGAAAAATAAAATTTTTATCATAGGAACAATACGCAGGGATAAGATTATCCCACCTGAATTTGTGTCGAATAAGAATAGAGAACAGTATTCAACCCTCTGGGGTTTCAAAAGTATATAATGCTACTTTCTTATATGGCTAAAAAGAACAAATGTGTCAACCTTTTGTCAACTATGCACAATGATGTCCATATTGATGAAAGCACAGGAGATTTGAAAAAATCTAAAATAATTACATTTTATAACATGACAAAAAGAGCAGTTGATATAGTCGACGAAATGGGTGGCACTTATTCTGTGGCCAGAATATCAAACGGATGGCCTATGGGCATATTTTTTTCGCTATTAAATATTGCCGGCATAAATTCAAAGATCTTGCTTTTATCTACTAAAACTCCACCAGAGAAGTTCAGGAATAGGAGGCACTTCTGATTAGCCCTTTGCACTTTTAGATCCTCATTTAAAATCACAACAGAAACAGAAGGAATACAACAAAGATTCTCAAAAAAAGAAAAGAAAATTATGTTACCAGAGATGTTACATGTGCTCAAGGGAAAAGACAGAAAATCAAAAACTATATGTGTGAAGTATAAAAAAAAATATATATGTCAAGAACACTGCGAAATAGAAGCTTCATCCACACTACAAAATATCTAATTCTTCTTGAGCCTAATTGATTTGAAAATTAATTATATAACTCATTGTCCATGTAATAATTCTGCCTAATTTGAATTATAATTGCATTCGAAAATAAAAAACACAAATTTCTCATAGAAATCAACAGTTCCTCGTCATATGAAGAAAATGTAAGTACTTTTGATTTATTTGTTATTAATTTTAAAATTAACATTATTTTTAAGCAATTTTATATAATAAATGTTATAATTAATATAAAATGCATTATTTTACATTATTACATTTGTACGTCATTTAATTGCAACGTGCATCCTCTCGGGTTAACTATACACTGCTAAATGTCATGGTTAACCTATTTATTTTACTTCTATATGCTATGTATCTTATAACTTAACTCTACACCGCTAAAATCATCGCTTCCATATGTTAAATATACACCGCTAAAATCGTGGCCGATTAGCTGTTGGCGAATAAATACGCACTGGCACCAACGGATCCTTTCCGAAAGAAAATCCAAGGATGTTTCTCGAGATTCTTTTTACATACATGAGATAATTCTCTCCAATGTAGATATGCATACCTAAATCATCTTGAAATATGAAAGATTTTTATACACCTTGCACACAAGGTTTCTCTACTGTGTGAATATACATATGCTTGTTTAAATTATATTTTTCACTAAATGACATCTCACATATGTCACAAACATAAGGTTTCTCTCCTGTATGAATAAGCAGATGCCTGTTTAGATGACCCTTAGTAGTAAATGACTTCCTACACACTTCACAAACATGACGTTTCAACCCTACATGAATAAGCATATGATGGTTTAAACCCTTCCTTTGCTTAAATGATTTCTTACATACTTCACACACATAAGGTCTTTCTTCTGCGTGAGTACTCATATGATCACTTAAACTACCCTTACTAAATGACTTCTTGCATACTTCACAAAATTCGGGTTTCTTCCCAGCATGAATAAGCATGTGATCTTTCAAAGTATACTTCTGGCCAAATGACTTCATACATATTTCACAAACATGAGGTTTCTCCCCTCTATGAATAAGCAAATGCCTGTTTAAATGGTCCTTTTGACTAAATGACTTCTTACAAACTTCACATTCATAAGGTCTTTCTCCTGTGTGGAAACGTAAATGACGGCTTAAACCACTTTTCTGAGCAAATGATTTTCTACATACTTCACACACATGAAGTTTCTCTCCTGTGTGAATATGCCTGTGACTGTATAAATTACTTATAAAATAAAAAGACTTGTTACATACTTCGCACACATGAGGTTTTTCTCCTGTGTGAATACCCATATGCTTCTTTACATAACCCTTTCGACTAAATGATTTCTTACATATTTCACACACATGAGGTTTATCTTCTGTGTGAATAACCATATGGCTCTTTAAGCTTTCCTTACAATTAAATGACTTCTTGCATTCTTTACACAAATGAGATTTCTCTTCTATGTGGCTTAACATATGCTTCTTTAACTCACACTTTTCTTTAAATGACTTGTTACAAACCTCACATTGATGTGGTTTCAACCCTGTGTGAATAAGCATATGTCTCTTTAAACTAGTTTTTAGTCTAAATGACTGCTTACATACCTCACACATATAAGGCTTTTCTCCTGTATGATACAGCATATGCTCGTTTAATCTAAACTTTAAACTAAATGATTTCTTACATACTTCACACACATGAGGTTTCTCCCCCGTGTGAATACGCATATGTTGATTTAAACTAAACTTACGATTAAATGATTTCATGCATACCACACACACATAAGGTTTTTCTCCTGTGTGAGTGGGCATATGCATCTTTACATGAGATTGTTGATTAAATGACTTTCCACATACTTTACACTTATAAGGTTTCTCTTTTGTGTGAATAAACATATGTTTCTTTAACTCTGACTTTTGTCTAAATGATTTGCTACAAACCTCACACTCATTAGGTTTCCCTTCCATATGGGTATCCATGTGCTCTTTCAAAATATTACTTTCTTCAAATGATTAGTTAGATATGTTCTAGAAAATGAAACTTCTGCACTATATAGACAGCCTTCATATGTAACTTGCATCATACTTCGTATTATTCACACTATGCAGAAATGTGCCGCTTAACAGAAATTTCACGCTACGTAGTTCTTGGCTAACTCTTTCAGTATCTTATGCATGTTCATGCGACACTATTTGTAACAATATCGTTACATATTGACTTATCCGGTGTGTGATGTACAGAAGCACTGATTTCTAGAAACATTCCATGAAAAATTGCACACAAAGACGATTCCCTATCCGATATATATAATGTTTAAATACGAAATTATGCAATTTTGCCATATATGCCTATACTGATTATATGATATTTTTATAGAGTTATCTAAATTGATTATATGATATTTTTTCTATAGCTCACAGTTAATATTTAAAAGGGCTGAACTACTTCCACATTCTACAGTACACTATCTGAGATACACATTGCAGAGGAAGAAAACTTCATATTAATTTGTAACAAAAACAGTTCATCTGTTTGAAGACGTATATTACACAAATAAATATTATTTCAGATACAGAACAGTGTCCCCCGTCTTACCGAAATACTGGGATCTGCAGAGTTATATATTAACAAATGAGGAATATGTTTGGCAAAGTGTGCGTGGTTAACAAGGCTTAGAATAAAAGTCGCTCTCAGTACACATTAACCACACTTCAGAACGAAGAAGCTCGTAATTAAACAGTCGCATCATTGTTTTAAAACAGTCACTTGCACAGAAAATTGCACTTGCAGTGATTATTTAGAGAATGAATTCGACTTCATGGGGGAAATTACTACCAATCACGGAGCATATATTCCATGCTTCGGTGGTAACCAAAGAAGTTATAGAATAGACCACAGAACCAACCAAATACCACCAAAGAAGTTATCGAATACAGATTCTTGGCCAAAGAGAGTCTATTCAATACATATTATTTGTCCTGCCTACCACATTTAAAAAAAGCATTCTTGAACTCAAAAATACATATCTGTCCCCATGCACAGATTTCTAAATTATAGTTGGAAAATTTAAGTGAGGCTTATCTAACAAAATACAAAACCTAAACATTAAAATAATAATGTACTCTTAACATCCTTCCACCTTTTCACTATAAATTGTAAGAAAAGATATTTAATAACGATTATAAATTATAATCAAGCATTAATTACCATTTTGAGCTATTTTAAGTTACCACTGATTAATAAATATATATATGTATTCTCGTTGCCGAACCCTCTTTTTGATGATAATTATTTAATCTTTGATGATGTGGGGATTAAGGCATTAAGTCTATGAGCCCCGTAATTGAACCTTCCTTGATCCAACGTGATTATCTTACTATAGCCCATGTAGGCAGAAAGACTTTGCGTTTGCAAAACAATGCATTTGTCCACTCTGCAATTCTGAAGTAAAATGTCTGATGTATTTGTTAAAGTTCTCTGCAGCAAAATGCTACGCAACTTGTGTGCCGTGAACTGGAGAAACTATGTAGCAATTTTAAAATAAGTAACTTCTTCGAACTTTGAAACACTAACAAATATAGAAGTAAAACTAAATGTAATCAGAATGTAACATATAGACATATTCCCTTAATGAAACAAACTATTTTTAGTTTATTCTTATATCATATAAATTCACTTTTATAAACTGCATACAGCATTAAAATTTTACTTATTATACATCAGGAAATATTAATTTATTAATATTTATTGCAACCTTTCAGTCTATAATGAATTATACCTATAAAATACTATAAACATAAAGATGAGGAAATGTTTAATGGCAAATTACTCTTTCCATTACATAATGCATATAACTAGATATGTGTTTAAATACTGCAAAATATGTATGCTTCTAGCAGGTTTAATGAAATTTTTATATTTTTACTGCAGTTAAAAATGAAATACAAATTGAATTTTGTGTATAATTAAGTACGTATATATTCTTAAGTAAGAAATCACATTTGTCTGAACTATAGCAAATTGATTTTTATTGAACAGTCCCTGGAAATCAGGTCATCCTTATTCACCACATTAGATAAGTCTTATGCAAAATATATATTTATATTTTTATCAATGTGTATCTGCATGAGACAATGAGAACTAATGTGAAGTACCCCATACTATATTCGGTAAAATTTCCATTAACCAATCTATTTTATATCCATGGAAAGTATAAGTATCATCCTGAACTATGTAACAAACAGTATGATAGCAAAGCTTATAAATATGTATATAGCAATGAAATTCATATCTAATGGCATATAAACAATCATTTGAAAGAAGCAGGGTTTTACTATGAGCTTATGGAGACTCATACAGGAGAAAAACCTTATGTGTGCGAGCACTGTCATCAATCATTCCGACAAAAGGCTAATTTAAACAAGCATATGTTCATTCACACAGGAGAGAAACCTCATGCATGTGAAGTATGTAAGAAGTCATTTAGTCAGAAGGGTAGCTTGTACATGCATTGCTTATTCACACAGGAGAGAAACCTCATGTGTGTGGAGTATGTGAGAAGTCATTTAGTCGTAAAGGTAATTTAAACGAGCATATGCTTATTCACACAGGGAGAAAAACCTCATGTGTGTGAAGTATGTAAAAAGTCATTTTGTCATAAGTGTAGTTTAATTGAGCATATGCTTATTCACACAGGAGAAAAACCTCATGTGTGTGAACAATGTAAGAAGTCATTTAGTCAAAAACGTAGTTTAAACACTCATATCCTCATCCACACAGGAGAGAAGCCTTATATGTGTGAAGTATGTCAGAAGTTATTTAGTGAAAATTGTAAATTAAACCACCATATGCTTATTCATACTGGAAAGAAACCTCACGTATGTGAAGTATGTAAGAAGTTTTTTAGTGAAAGGTGTAGTTTAAACAAGCATTTGCTTATTCACACTGGAGAGAAACCTCATATGTGTAAAATATGTAATAAATTGTTTAGTCGAAAGGATAGTTTAAACAAGCATATGCTTATTCACACTGGAGAAAAACCTCATGTGTGTAAAGTATGTAAGAAGTCGTTTAGTGAAAAGTGTACTTTAAACAAGCATATGCTTATTCACACTGGAGTGAAACCTTATATGTGTAAAATATGTAAAAAGTCATTTATTCAAAAGCGTAATTTAAACAATCATATGCTTATTCACACTGAAGAGAAACCTCATGGTTGTGAAATATGTATGAAGTCATTTCGTGAAAAGGGTAGTTTAAAGAAGCATATGCATATTCACACATCAGACAAAACTTGTATGTAAGATATGAAAAAATTTGTTTATACTAAAAAATTATTTAAATGTACTTTTCCACATAGAGAAATCACAAGGGCTTTATATGTAACAAGTCTTTTTGACAGATGATTATTTGTTTATTTACACAGTAGAGAAACTCTTTGTTTTTCCAGCTTATTTGTAACAAATGGCAGAATTCTTAGAATTTAGAATGGTACTGTGTTAGTATTTGTAGAAATTATTCCAGGTATTATAAAGACTATTGCTGACATTATGTGAGGTACATAAATTATCATTTGATCAAATAATAAGCCATTTATTTGTTTCCTCAAAATAAAAAAAAAATAAAAATATATTTATTCAAGGTAAATCTCAAGTTAATTTAAATAAATATTGATATAGTAACATCCTGTTTGTCCATTAAGCTTTCTAATGAACGATATGTTTAAAACAGCATTGGTCTAGGCTGATTAAAAAAAGCTTAGACAGTTTAGTCAAAATAAGACTTCATTAGTTTTGTATTTCTTCTCCCTCCCCCTAAACATGAATTCTTTTCACTGGATTGCACTATATATAGCATTTTGTAAACAGTAAAAGGATTTGAAATAAACTGTTTTGTTACATCCTCTTTAGCTCAGAAGGTTGGAATTTTTCACTTCCTTATTGGATGTCAACCTCCCACACAGGTCTTAAATGTTGAGAATGCTCAGTGATAAGACCAAGTCCAGTTTAGGCACTCAGTATATGAAATTTAAAAGATCAATTTCAGACTGTGTTGCTGATACCACAGCAAAATATGCAGCTTGTATTGTTATTCAGAGCCAGAGTTCTTGAGAAAACAATGTGTTACCTTTCTAGTGGTTGCAATGGTCTTCAAAAGATTTTTACATAATAATCACTATTTACTGTGTACTGATAAGTATTTAATATTTACATCTGTTGCATACCCAAATGCACTGTGTGGATCATATGCTTGTTACTGTTTCAGAATGTATCTAAATGTTTTATATGCGTACTTGTAAGTTGTGTATGTGCTTTATATTAAAAAAATGTCTGTTTGTTGTTTAATGCAGAAACCAATCACAGCTCTGCCTTTAATGGCAGAAATGTCTTCCTTGTGCCTTTATGAAATAATGTGTTAAGTATATCCATACATGATGAATGATTAAGAGCATGCCTGTCCATCTCCAATATCAAATGTGTCAGTGTATAATATTTTCAAAACCAATATTGGTTTGTCACATAAGTTGTGAACGAGAAGGGATGTTTTCTCAAACATTTTCACTCAAATCTTGCACATACCCTAATTTGGACATAGCAAGTAGAGCAACTCCATGTAAATGTAACAAGATTATTTGGAAAAATTGGAAACAGGTAAGAAATCTGTGTATACTAGATACTTATTCAAAAACTGTTCTGTTTTTCCATGTAGTGGCGAAAGAAACTTGATTTTTAAACAACTGAAAGGATCGATCCATACTTCTATTATAAGCATGAAGTGTGTGCCAAAAATGTATCTCAATTTCAACTTGCAACTCATGCTCAGTTTTCAAGCATTGATACAAATTATCATTATAAGGAACTGAAGCCTAAACAATTTTTTTCCAAAATGGTTTCTATAAAAATGTAACTCTATAGTTGAACACAAACTTGCCATGTTTGACAAGTTGTGACTATTTCTGTGATTTTAATTCAGGAAACAACCAATTCTGAAATTAGGCCTAAGAGATTTTTGTACAAGATATGTATGGAAAGGCTTTGCGAGAATATTAGAATTTTATTTCATGAGATTAACTGAAGAAACGTTGCTGTATTTTAATCTGTTAATATATTTTTTTAAATTTTAACCATAAATGTTTCTCATAAATTATTTTAAAGAGTGAAATAGCATAAAATTATTGAAGTTATCAAGGTACTTAATTAAAGACTTCTAAAATGTTTTTAATATAAATAGTTTTTACTCATTTATAAAAATTTTTAATGTTAAAAGCAAATGCTAATTAATTAATACTTTATGTAAAAAGCAGATTAAGGGATGAATGCTGCAAGTGCTATTTGCAGCATTCATCCCTTAATCTGCTTTTTACATCTTTTCATGTTAATGAAAGATAATTGATAATTAAATAGCTTCAGCTGTATTTTTTAATAATTACTATTTCAAGCTTAGATATTTTAATATTTATTCAATAAGTTTTAAAAGTCATGCACTTTTTGGCTACTTGGATATTATACTGTTGACTTTGAAACTGTTGTCAAGCCACACAATTTAGTGCCTTGTAATGGACAGGTGTGACATGGCAACATACTCATGATATCTGTGCTTTCATCTGACGTAACATTAACTGACTGTGGAGAAACTACCTTTTGTTTTCATGAACAAGCTTGTAAAGTGGCTGCTACAACTGTACTTTTTTCCTTCCATCTTGGAAAAAATTATAAATTCAAGAGCTGTAGAATCACATTTATGACTGCACTCGGCTTCATTTTTAGCTTGTTAAGAAAAATTTATATCCGTCACATGGGAATTACAATTACCTGCAGAAATTTGGGTATTCTTGTTATCAAAACAGGATTCAGAAATGTGTGTATGGATGGATAGATGTGTTCATGTATGCATAGATATACGATTTTTAATTTTCTTTTATTGTAATGTTCGTAAATCTAAGTAATCAGAAAATATCCCTTTTCTTCCTTCAGAAAAATTCCGTGTGGGTTGCAATACTTTTCTGGATTAC